TTGGGATATGGGACAACCCATGGGTTGGGGTCCCTCATGGCACACCAACCACCTGAGGGCAGATGGCCACGTTGGGATATGGAACAACCCAAGGGTTGGGGTCCTTCCAGCCCCACCGATGATTTGGGGGCAGGTGGCCATGCTGTGACATAGAACAACCCATGCTTTGAAGTCCCTCAAGGCTCACCAACCACCTGGGGGCAGATGGCCATGTTGGGACATGGGATAACCCATGGGTTGGGGTTCCTCATGGCACTCACCAACCGCCTGAGGGTAGTCGGCCACGTTGGGATATGGGATGACCCCCGTGTTGGGGTGTACCTTAAGGCCTGCCAACCACCTGGGGGCAGATGGCCATGTTGGGATATGGAACAACCCAAGGGTTGGGCTCCTTCCAGCCCCACCAACCACCTGGGGTCAGGTTTGGAGGTAAAACCCCATCGCTTCGCCAACTCAAAAAAAGACAAAACCAAAACCAAAACCAAAACAACCCACCGACCCTCTTCCTTTTTTTTTTTTTTTTCTGGAAACATTTTAATAGTTATCGAATGTTCTACATCTTACAGTAAATATCGTACAGTTACAAACTCTTGGCTGAAATCTGTCAGGGAGATCAAGAGCTGATCTTCAGAACGGAAAACGGAACGGAAAACAAATGAGAAAACCCAGATTTACACTTCATAGTCACAAGCCGCGGCTGCGGGGCTTCCCAACGTGTCAGTTCGAGGCCATGTTCCCTACACACCGTGGAGACTTGGAAGACGTGTTTACTTTTTTTTTTCTTTTTTTTTTTCTTTTTTTTTTTTTTTTTGTATTTACCTATTTTTTTTAATATGTATATATATTTTTGCTTAAAGAGTTCCAATGCTGTTTAAAAACGAGCGGATCCCAGCTGTCCCGTCGGTCAGAACGGGCCAAGAAATGAGACAGAAAGATGGATGGGGGTTTGCTCTGCTTGGTGCTAGGGCACGAGGAGGCTCTGTGGTTTTGGGGGGGCAGTTTTGGGGTGCCCCCTCGTGCCCTTTTTCCCCTCCCTCGCTATGTCTCCCAATGGTTGCAGCCTTGCAGCTCCATCCCAAGGATGCAATGCTGAGGCGTCGCGTTGGGCATTTTCCTACAAACTCATTGCATCCAGTTGGGGAAAGCTGCCATCAGATGACATCTTTTGCTATTCTTTTTTTCCAGACACTCCAGAAAATCCATTATCACCTGATTGCTGGTGACTCTGTAAGTGCCAAATGGTGACTCCTTGCCACAGCTCTCCTTCCTCCCTTCCTTCCAGGCTTTCTGCCCTATATTTCCCTATAGCAGAGCAACAGCGCGTCGGGGCCATGGGGAGCCAACAGCCAAAGGGAAAAGAAAGAGATGGAAAGCAAACTGCCACGGGTTAAAGCCATGGGGAGGACATCAGGGTGACAGAGGCAGAAGGAACCGCAGCCCTCACTTGGACTGAAAATATTGACCGTTTGACCAAATAAAACTGAGAAGAGGACTTAAGAGGACACAACGGCTCTTATTGCTGTCTTTGGCTGGTTGGATTTGAGCACTGAACGCAAACCCCCATATGGGAGGAGTTTCTTGGTATGCCCTCACTTCCCGGCCCCACTGGGGACCACTTTATGCCTACCACGCTCCTCAAGAATAGCAAACATTTGTCACCAAACCAAGGGGAAAAAACAAAACAAAACAAAACAACTTTACGTAACACGGTAAAAAGTGCTTCAATTACACACCCAAGCTGCAAAGAAGCTTTACAGGGTTGCTGCTGCCCATCAGAGCCGGGAGCTCCGGGCTTTGCGTGGGGCTGGGGCAGCACAGGCTTTGAGTCCTGCACTGCAGTGCGTTGTGGTGCAGAAGTCGGAGGTGGGATCAGGCAACGGCCACAGCTGTGGTTTGATAACAATTTTCTTAACACTTTCCCCCTCCTCTTCCTGGAGTTTTGCTTGGCCTCCATCACCCCCTGGGACATCCTAACCTTGCTCTGGCATAGAGCGTAGCCCTGTCCCCCCCAGTGAGGGAAATCCCTTTTCTTCCTGCTCACCAACCTTCACCATCACCAACCCAACTGCAGCGTGTGATGCTTGGGTGTCCCCAGTGGTGTCAACCCAGGGAGCTTTGGCACCCCAGCAGTCGGGACAGCAGAGTGACAGAGTCCTGCTGGGTTCCTTTATCTCACCATGAGGAATGTCAACAGAGAAAGAGGCAGCGCCTCCAGGAGCAAACCTTACCCACAGAGTTGACCCCGGCTTCAACCCACTCTACAATCCCACAACTCCGTCCCTCCCAGATGGTCCTAAAGGTGCCAAGAGGTCAAGGTTTAGCAATGGAAATCCCATTCCACCCCAAATCCATCACCCCACGCTCCAAAAGCCCACCTTGCCATCATGAAATGAGATGAGTTGGGGTTGGAGAACTCTGTCCCAGGGTGGGAACTGGATGGAGCTGCTCACAGCACAACCATTGCCTACTCACCCCTTGGTCCTGCACTCGCACCGCGCTCTACCCCATCATGGGTTGACTTCCCAACCTGCTCCTTCCCAAACAAATTCCACTGGGGAAACCACCCTGAAAGGGGATCGAATATCTCCCCAGAGGGCTTCCCAAGCCCCCCAGGGTCGGCCCAAGTCCCAAGATAGGCTCACCACAACAAGGTTCGCCTCCTCACGCCGTGACGGCGCCACTGGGTATTTCTACCCAAGCACAATGGGGAAGATTGACGAAATCTGCCACTGATCCAAGCAGAGGGATCAAAATAAAGCCACCTGACCCTCGTCAGGTCTCGTCTGTGGTAACAGATGGAGGGGTTTTCCCTTTTCCCTTCTAACTTTATAGCCTCAGCCTGTTTTGATGAAAAATCTGTCATTTTCAGACCAAGCCTGAAATTCAGAGCTTTGATTAGGGGGAACTCCAAAATGCCTTTAAAAAAACACAGTGAGGAGGAGGCCGTGTCCATCTGGGGGTTCCTCTGTGCCGTGAACGGCACTTCACCCCTCAAACTCAGCCTTTTCTCCCCTTTCAGCAGCGCACCCCGCATCTTCCTGGCCAAGGCTGAGAATTCAGACAGCTCCTCCCAGTGCAGGGATGGCTGAGCAGCCTCAGGGCAGTGTTGGGACTCACTGCAGTGCTGTTAATTCACTAAGGACCTTCCTCCATCACAACAACGCGTTCCAGCACCGACAGACAGCTCCTGATCCACGGGCAATTCCAACACTAAGTCAACAATATTGTGAGAGCCAAAACAATTTAAAAAAAAAAATAGTATTTGAGAGCTCTTCGGTTCCTGTGATTTGTGATAATGGTGGGTTGGTTTTTTTTGTCTGTTTGGTTTTTTTGCCCATGTTTAATTGCAACCTGTTACAGAGGACAATGTGGTTTCCCTACTTCCAAACGTCCCCCTTCCCTTTAAGTGCTGAGCCTATAGGCAGGGAGGCTTTCCAAAGCTAAACAGGGGGCAACACTGTGATTAATTACCTCTTTTTTTTTTTTTTTTAACTTTTGTTTTTTTTTCTTCTTTTTTTTTTTTCTTTTTTTTTTTCTCCGTTTTATACAAAATGAAAGTGCAACACAATGAAACCACGTGGTGGAAACCCTCATGACCTCCTCCACCCACAGCGCTGGCGTTCAGGCTTCACCACTTTGTGTCCTTTCTGTCCTCTGACCGAGGGCAATTGGAGCTTGCCTGGGTTTCCATTAAGAGCAGAAGAAGCAACCAACTGCCCCCCCACTGACCTGACAACCAGCAGCCCCCAGTCCTTTGGGGTCCCTACAGAGGTTTCTCTCCTTATTGGACTGATTCCCATCGAGAAGGATCCAATTCCTTGCAAGGCTCTGGGATGGCTCCTTGGGACCACTCGCAAGGATGGATGGATGGATGGAGCTCCTTTGGCACGTGGAGGGAAAACCATCAAAAAGCAACACACGACGATGATTGCATTTTTCTCTTAGGAAAAAAAAAAAAAAGAAGAAGAACTTTTGTTTCTATGCTGTGTTTAGGGGTAAGAATTGAAAAGTAGCTCCAGCTGCCTGCAAGTGCTGCCTGTTTGACTGGGACACCCCAGAGGACCCAGGAACAGCCTCACGTTGCCTCTGGATGCAGAAGATTACTTTATTGCTATTGCTGCTCCTTACCCCTACTATCTCCCAGCCCAACCAGCTGTCTCCACAATGCCAGGATTTGGGCTCCTTTGCTGACCCCAATCCAAACAGCCCAACGAATGGGAGCACCTCAACCTCCACGAAGGCTCCTCTCCATCCAACCTCCTTTCCCAAATCCCCAGGCTCTGTAGAGCCTCTCCAGCCTGGAAATCTCTCTTCTCCCACCCCACAGCATCCCTGCACACCTCTGCCCACGAGCAGTGGCCAGGAAAGAGCTGCCCGTGCTGGGACACGGCCAGCACACAGCATCCCAGCTTCCCAAAGGCATCGCTGCCCCTCGATTCCCCTTGCACCAAATGCCTCTGCCCAGTTTTGAAAAGCAGACCCAATGGTGAACAGTCCTCCTACTTCCTAAAACAAGCGTGTTACGTCGCTAGTTATATTCTCTTACTCCTACAAATAAGGGATGAGTTCAGCATTTCACTGCAGATAATGCATCATCATCTATCACGACAGCTATCTGGAAGACACCAATTTTCCTGTAATACGTTAAGGAAGATTAAATAATTTATGTTACCCAACTAAAAATACCCAAACCAAATTGGAATAAGCCTGCCTACCAGCGCTGTGCTTTTCACATAGTACCCTGAACATCAACCACTCTTACTAGTCAAAGGAAACCTAGGCTCTTGTCAACAACAACAACAACAAAAATAACAATAATAAAAAAGGATGAGAAGAACCCAAACGAACAAGAAGTGGGGATCTCTTTGCACCACTCGACTGGGCAATGCTGAAAAGTGAATATGCTGAGCTGTAAAACGATAGGACCGAAGAGAGAACTTTACTATTGCTCAGTGTCAGTATGTGTTACACGACTGATGTGGGTCGGGGAGAGGGAGGAGGGAAGGAAAATAAAGAGGCAGAAGATTAGAAAAAAGCAGCTTTTACAAAAACCACTAAAGAATGCATAAAGTGACCCTTGCACTTTTTTCTTTTGTTCTTGCAAACAGACGAGGTGCTGCAGTCCAGCGGCTGCAGCCCCGATGTAAGACTTGTGTAGTTGCATACAATGTTTGACTTCGGATCTGGAAGAGAGCAGACACGTTGCAGAGGGGTTAGGAGCACAGGGAGGGATGTCCTCTTTGTCCTGTGCACTTCAGTGTGCATGAAATGCAACACTTGCTCGCAGGTAACGCCTGGCAGTGGGCACAGGACCTCTATGACCACCCAATGCCCAATGACCGTGTCCCCAAGTGCCACATCCCCATGGTTCTGAGCATGGGCACCCCACCACTCTGTGGGCAGCCCGTGCCAGTGCTTGTCTGCTCTTTGGAGAAGAGATTGGGAAGAAATTCTTCCCAATTTACAACCTAACATCCACTTAGAGCATCCCTTGGGCAAGCAGCCTGCAGGAGGGGCTGCCCATGGTTCCGTCCCCGTGTCCCAGAGGCAGAAGGAGGGCAGTTCTCTTGCAGCACTTACATGACTTGGCCAGTGGGTTTACCAGTGCGGCGGTACGTAGCTGTAGGTGGGGGTTCCTTGAGCCCGGTACGTTGGCACAGAAACTGGATGTGCTCCGATGGCAGTGTGTTGTGGGGTGGTCAACAAGGTTCCTGCAGCGACAGCGAGGAGAAAAGCTTGGCATGAAGGTATCATGGCACAAGGGGGGTGAGAAGGGATCGCTGTAACTCAGCACCGCGTGCAAAAGGCTTTGGAGAGCCCCGAGGGGCAGAGCCCAGAGATCCCAGGGGCACACCAGGAGCATTCCCTCCTCTCTGAGCCATGATATGTTGGGGATTCCAAGTGAGAACGTGCCCGGTGCCTTCAGCAGACACAAAAATGGCACTGGAATGCCATTTAGGCACTGCAATGGATGCCCAGGGAGGTGGTGGAGTCACCGAGCCTGGGGGTGTTCAAGGAAAGGCTGGATGTTGTGTTGAGGGACGTGGTTTAGTGGGAGCTGTTGGGAATGGGGGAACGGTTGGACTGGATGAGCTTTGAGGTCTTTTCCAACCTTGGTGATTCTAAATGGAGAATACAGTCTCAAATGTCTCTGCTCTAAGAGTAACAGGCTGCTCTTCAGGGCATCCCACATGCATTAATTAGATCTGCCCACTTCTCAGTGCAAGCAACACTAGTAAATATCTTGGAGTGGTTCTTGTGAGGCGCAGGCTGCAATCCCTCCATGTAACAGGGAGTCAACAGAGCCCTATTTCTCCACTAATGCAGATGCAAATGGGTGAACAATGCATAATTCAGTGCACAATGCTATGAATTGTTTTGTGCAGAACTGCTGAGGAGCAAAATAGAAGGTCTGGAAAAAAAAATGGCCCATAGCCTTGCTCAGTGCCTTCATGTGCCATCAGTTAATCACGTTTTACCAGGGCTGAAATAACCCTGTGCATACAGCACAGGATTTGAGAGTGATGTGTAAACCAAGGTTAATGCTCGTTTCATTGTGTGCAGCAGGAGCAGAAGCGTCTTAACAAAGAGCTCGAGGGTAGAAATGCAACTGTGGGTGGAGAAGGGCAAGCTTGGCTGTTGCTTTGTTTGTGGAACAGAGTGCAGAAGCGTGTTCCTCTAGGGCACAGCAAATGGAAGAGCTCCTCTGCGACCTCACGGGTGATATCAGCATAAGGTGCAAATGAATTGATTTCTGCCGGCGTGCGTTGCTTGGGTTGTCCCATCCAAGAGATGAACCCACTGCTGTGGATCTGCGGGGCCAGGGAAGCTTCTTACCTGCTGACATGGCCATGGTGGTACCAGCGACCATCCCCATGGCCACGCCGTTGGTCCGGGGCGCAGCGACGGGGGCCGGGTAGATGGCCGACGGGATGCTGTTGGGCTGAACCACAGTGGTGTGATGGATAACGTGGGGCTGTGCCGCGTACACTGGCTGGGTGTAATAAGCTCCCTGTTTGAGGAAGGGAAAACACTCTGTCATCCCACAGAAAGCCCACGTCCTGTGCATGTATTGGCACGGCTGGTCTCAATGGATGGGGCACCCACAGCTTCGAGGCACGGAAGAGAAACCCCCCATTCCACATTTTTTCCCATTCTCTAGAAGTTCTCCCAGCCTCCACCCCTTTCCCCCAGGACAATTTCAAACAGAAGGATTTATTTATTCCTCCAACGGGAATGGGGTTGGCATCACAAGCCAACCCCAGTGCCATAAGCACTGGAACGGGCTTCCCAGGGAGGTGGTTGAGTCACCATCCCTGAATGTGTCTAAAAACCATTTGGGTGTGGTGCTCAGGGACATGATTTAGAGGAGGGCTGTTAGGGTAGGATGGCTGGATGCAGTTGGACTTGATGATCTTTAATGTCTTTTCCAACCTGAGCAATTCTATGATTCTACAATCGTGGGTAGGGGGCACGGCTGCAATGGGTCAACTGGGTTGGACTCAATGGAAAAAGCAGTCTTTCCCAACCTCAACGATCCCACACTTTATGCTGCATGATTTGATGGGATGAAATGGGGCTGGGTCCAAAATATATTGGCTGCTGGCATGCAAAATGAGCAAGAGATGGAAAGAAAGGAGGAACTGTGGCTGCATCTGATCCCAAAGGGCCAACGTCGGCACGGGAAGCGGGCAGACAAAAGGGAGCACCGTCTCCTCAGGTTTCCAAAGGGAGACAGAGGGGCTCTGAAACCTGGGCTGCTGAGACCTGAGGGAGTTGGAAACAAGGGGGAGAAAATGGGTGGGAGGAAAAGAAAGGAGTCAGCAGAGAAAGCCCCACATCCCATGTAACGGCGATCCCGAAACGTGAGCAGTGCAGTGCTGCGAGAACAGGGAAGGTCAGAAGGATCAGAGAGCTGAGAACAATGAGAGGAGATCTTATTGCAGTTTGGGGCAGGCGTGGGAGAAGCTCCAAACCATTTATGGATGAAGGGGGGAAAGGAGAAATGGATGAACTATCAGATTACTTCTTCCTTTCAGGCTGATAGGGCAGACTGTAGGCACACTGCATTACACTGGGGAAGGGAAGAACTTGCCAAGAGAGATGAGGAAGGGGACAGAAATCAGCCAGAAAGCTTTCTGGTAGAGCAGAGCACAGAGCAGCTGATGATGGTGTCACTGGGATGCAGCTGCACGCCCAGCTCAGGATCAGGACAGGACACAGCCTTCAATGGATAAATACTGGTGATGGGTGGATGGTTGGGCTGGGAGATCTTGGAGGTATTTTCCAACCTTGGTGAGTCTACGATCCTATGATTCAGCTTTCCCCTGCCTGTGCTCATCTCAGCAGCCAGCATCTTCCTTGCAAAGTGCCTGTGCTCAACACCAGGCTCCATTGGTTCCAGTGCAGCAGGGGTCAGCCCATAGGGTTAGGTCCCAGTGGTGGCAAAGAGCAGCCTGGGCCTGATGACAAAACTGCTGCCAGCTTTTGTGCCAGCTGATGGGGAGCACGTCAGGAACCAGCAGAGAGCACCTGAGCACACGTCTGACCCCAACAGCTTCCCCTGTGCTCAGCTAACGGAAACTAAGTGGACAAAATGGAGCAGAGGAGATGCTTTGGACTCAACCTGGCATGGAGAAACCAGGTCACGGCTGCAGGAGAAGTCCTATTTGCCATTTAAGTAGAAGGAAAAAAGCCAGGAAAGCTGCAGGGCCAGAGAGTTGCAGGGAGCTCATTATCTCCTGCAGGAAGGGGATTATTGGAGGACACCTGTCCAACATGGGGTCTTGGCTGTGGTGCATGCCTGGAGGCAGTGGCAATGTTGGAAGAGGGAAGATGGCACTGGGAGCCCAGCCAGGTGCTCAGGGACACAAATCTGGGTCATGCTGGTGAAGGTGACACAGGGGGCTGCGCCATGGGAAGCAGGAGGGCAAGGCATGGAGATGCCACTGGGAAGGGGACCTCATGTATGACATTGACGGCCGAGCCCCAACATTCAGGTGTGGGATTTGGGGACAAAAGGACTCCAGGGAAGATATCAGGTGGTGGTGGGAGATGCAGAGTGAGGCACGTACCTGGGTGTACAGGTTCTGCTGTGGGTAGGCACTTCTGATGGGGTACATAGCAGTTTGGTACGGATTTGGAGACGGAGAGTAGGGAGGAGGCGCGTTGTTGCTCTGGGTTGGTGGGACCTTGTAGGGAGTCCCCGCAGTGTACCCTGGCAAAGAAAGACCAAAGCAGAGGAGGTGAGGGGGAGGTTTGCTCCTGGTGAGACAGCCACAGGGCTTACAACTTTGGCCCCAGGTCCTGCTGCCCCCTGGAGCTTGGCTGGGAGAGATGCTGTTGGTAGGAGGGATGCAGCTGCAGCATCACTTAGAGCAAAGGGGATGGACTGTGGGGCAGGAGGGAGTCTTATCAGGGGGAAAAACAGCCTCCCAGCTGAGAGAAGCTGCCAAGGGCAGCACCAGCATCACAAACATCCAACCCCCATGCTCACAATCCACTGCAACCACTGCTACCCAGTGCAGGACCCTTCCTCTGGCTCTTCCCTCTGCAAAATAGGGCATCCAGCTTCAAATCCGCTGCCTGGAGGTATTCAGGTGTCAGCAGCATTCCGAGGGCTGGATACGGTTGTTCTTGCCTGGAAAGGGCTGCACTCTGTCCTCCAAATTGCTGCTTACATGAGGTCGATGAGCACCCAACATCTCAGCACAAAAAAGGCAATGCACGGCCCCACAGGACTCCATGCAGGCTGGGGCTGCAGAATCAGACCCACTTGCATGTCTCAATAGCTCTGGTTCCTGAAATTAAGTTTCTTCCCCACTCTCCTCCCCATGTTTTTGTCCTCTCACCTTTCCTGCTAGAGGTGCAGTGGATAAAAGAACTTTAAAGCTGTGGGATCTCACTTCACAGGGCAGCACTGCTGTCATATCCCCCCAAAAAGCAGCAAGAGGAGGGGAAAGGCTCCCCTTCCATTCAGCTGTGGGGCTGTGCCACCCAGTTTCTCTCCAAGTATGTCAGCAGAGAGCAAGCTCTATAGCTGCATGGTACTGTGATGGCACTGTCAGTGTTCAAGCAACCAGAAAGCAAATGCCCAAACCCACAAACCCACTATGCTGGTCCCTTCATGTCCCTAAGAACCTACTGGGGATGTGAGGCTTGTTTATCACCACCAAAAGAGTCCCTGTGCCTCCGAAGGTCCCCTCATGACAACAGCTGCTCCTCCAAAAACTCTGTATCTGCAGGCTCTGTGCACTGGTGACAAGAGCAGCAAGTCTGCTCCGTGGCCATTAGGAAAAGCCATTAGCTCTGTAGTGAGTGCACACTGCTGAGCTCTAAGGAAAGCATTTGATAGGTGCTGAGCTGATGAATTAAGATGAAGAATCCATCCCAAAATGAGGAAATCCATCCTAAACAAGATGGGGAAATCCATCCCAAACAAGGGACACCGAGATCATATCGGCTGAGCTGGCACCTGATGACCATGGGTGGAGCAAGGAGATGCTGGAGGACTGATTCTCTATTTTTTGTGTTTCCATTCCAGGTGAGAGTTCTCTCCAAGGCTTAACGGTTATTTTGGAGGAAGAGCCCATGATTGCTATGTGCACATCTGTGCTGAAGGGCAGATGTGGCACCTGGGGATGTGGTCAGTAGGGATGGGTTGGGGTTGGGTTGGGAGATGGGTTGGGGTTGGGTTTGGGTTGGGTTGGGAGATGGGTTGGGGTTGGGGTTGGGTTGGGGTTGGGTTGGGAGATGGGTTGGGGTTGGGCTGGGTGAGGTGATGGATTGGGGTTGGGTTGGGTTGGGGTTGGGGTGGGAGATGGGTTGGGGTTGGGTTGGGGTTGGGTTGGGTTGGGGTGGGGGTGGGGGTTGGGGTGGAGTTGGGTTGGGGTTGGGTTAGGGTTCGGTTGGGGATGGGTTAGGGTTGGGTTGAGGTTGCACTTGGGGCTCTTGGAGGTTTCTCCAACCTCAGTGACTCTGATTCTGTGATTCCACTTCTGAAGTCTCAGTGGTTTTGAGGTCACTCTTGCAGTGAAGGACAAGAAGGAACTCACTCTGTTGATGCCATACAAGGAACAGATCCCACTGGTGGGACAACACTGAATAACATGGTTTAGTGTGAAATACTGGTGGTAGGTGGATGGTTGGACTGGATGATCTTGCAGGTCTTTTCCAACTTGGTGATTCTATGATTCTGTGATTCTCCAGCACTAAATTGGGGGAAAATCCTCAAGAATTCTTAAAGCTGTGCTTTAAGTCATCTTTGAGGGCAGATGGGGCCCATAGGCCCCAAACACTGAGTAGGATGGAGAGGAGAAATTCAAGGCTCAGCAGAGTGGTAACACACCCCAACACTCAGACATAATGAACCCATCAGCACTCAACACAGCAATTAATGAAGGACAAGATTTCAAGTTTGCTAATACTCAGTGTGAAGATAATAAGGAGTTTTCCAGGGACTGCAAACAGCATCTTGCGGCCTTCTGAGCGCTGCACATTTGGAATAAAAGTGTTAATTAAACACAAAGGGTCTGATTCCCCTCCTGAGACTCATAGCAGAGTGCAGAATGGAATGGAATAGAGAGGGGGAACCCTGTGCTGGAGCTTCTGTGTGCTGGAGGGTCTACGGGGAGAACTCCATCCTGTTGTAGGACCAACACGAAGAGCTGTAGGGCAGCAAGGAGTTGTACGGTGATGAGGAGCTGTAGGGCCACCATGAGGAGGTACAGGGCCATGAGGAGCTCTAAAGCCATGAGGGGCTGTAGGGACACCATGAGGAGCACTAGGGCCATGAGGAGCTGTAGGAACACCATGTGGAGCTGTAGGGCCATGAGGGGCTGTAGGTCCATGAGGGGCTGTGAGGCCATCACAAGGAGCTGTAGAGCCACCATGAGCAGATGTGGGGCCATGAGGAGCCATAGGGCCACTATGAGGAGCTGTAGGACCTTGAGGAGCTGTAAGGCCATGAGGAGTTGTAGGGTCATGAGGGACTGTAGAGACATGAGGAAATGTTGGGCCATGAGGATTTGTAGGGCCATGAGGAGTTGTAGAGCCATCACAAGGAGCTGTAAGGCCACCACAAGGAGCTGTAGGACCATGAGGAGCTGTAGGGCCACAAGGCCAACCCTCAGCCCACTCCGAATGCAGAATGGACCTTGCTGCAGTTTCCCCACTGCTGAATGACAATTTAACTGCTACATTAAAAAAGGTGTTAAACACAACAGCCCAGGCAGATGCAACCCTTATTCTTTATAAAACAATGGGGAGAAAAGCAAGCAATCCACACTGGCTTGCAGGTAAAAGCAGCTCATAGCCAAGTTTTAATGTCACATAATGATTTGTGCTCCTCTCAGACACGCATGTCTGACAGCTAATTTTAAAACCTGATTATGACAACCTCAGGAGGATTAGGAGTTCACCCAGCCCATGCTGTGGTTCCACAGAGGGCTGGGATTTTAATAAAAAGCAATAGCAAGCGTAGGAGCTCCAGCTCCTATTAAAATTGCTGATTAAATGCCTCATACCACCCCAGAAATCTCAACCCCACGGATCCTACAGTGCAAAATTGCATTGAATTGCATGAATTTTTATCCTAAGGGTGATGGGGAATGAGGCGAGGTGAGGATGAAAGCTCTGTGCCGAGTTCTGCACCATTCACCCCAGGAGCATGACTGCAGGAATGTGATGCTTTGCTGATGATGCCCATGGAAAGCTCTTAAGGTCTGGAGCACAGCGCTGTGGGAATGGCTGAGAGAACTGGGATGGGTCAGTGTGGAGCTCAGGGGAGACCTTATAGCCCTACAACTCCTGAAAGGAGGTTGTGGTGGGGGGAGGGATCAGCTCCCACGTAACAGAAACAGAGGAGCTGGAAGGCCATGAAAGGTTGTAGGGCCATGAGGGGCTGTAGGGCCATGAAGGCTGTAGGGCCATGAGGGGCTGTAGGGCCAAG